TTGTCAAAAAGAACGGAAGAATAAAAATTTGTATCTCTTTTTCCCTTTACAATAATTTTCAAAGCATGACAAAGATAAGTAATCATTCTTATTTCAAAATATCATAATTAAGATAAACCTTGAATTCAAATCAAAGCAATTTTAATCATGATTCACATCATATGCAATATATCACATACATCATCATAATAAAAAGCATAAGTATTGCATGCATCATTCTAAATCATAAATATTTCACATCATGATGGTATCAATTTATCAAATTACATGTCAAATTACATCCTACTATACATGATCATAATTTTTTCCCCTTTTATCATTGTAAATAAGAAAGAATAAGGGAAGAACATAATAGTGTAAAATATTTCAATCATTTCAAGGCATACTTGTCATAAATACAAAGAAATCATGTCATGAAAGATAAGACCACTTGAATACCAAAAGACATGATTCATATAGTAAATCTCTTTAAATAAAATATCAAGAATAAAAAATTATAGGTGTACAAAGAAGAGATCTTAATTAAAAGAAAATCTCAAGTAATAAATCCAAGAACTCACAAGAAAAATCATGATTCATTTTAGAAAATCTCCTCTTAAGAAAATACCAAGTAGAATCGTAGGAGAACGATTAATGAAAAATCTTAATTCATAATAAATCTTAATTTATATATATCAAGGAATCAAGATCATAATTTAGATACAAATTTATTCAAATTTAAATCATCAAAATCATTTTCAAAGTCCAAGAGATTCGTAAAAATGATACAAATAGATTCATCAAAATCAATAAGATAGAGAAAAAAAATTTTCAAAAAAAATGTTTTCCTCTTTTTAGTTATTTCAATTCATATGATTTATTTCATTTATGCCAAATAAAAACATGTATCATGTTTAAAATCGAAAATTTAAGATTTATTACGACAAAGATCAATAAGGCATAAATCACCAAAAAGTCATCATTACTTCAAATCATCATGCATAATTTTGAAAGATAAATTCATTAAGCACGATCATTATGCATCATTACATTATTTCATCAAGCATGATTTCATAAAGTGTTTTCAATGAAAAGTAATACGGAAATCATTAAGATACACATTATCATTAAAACATCTAGCATAATTTAAGTCTAACATTTTGTTCCTTTATCATAACATATATAATTTTCATGATTATTTTCAAAATTACTAGATAAGCATGATTCCTAATTTTTTGTATTTTTATTTATTAAACATGTAATTTTTTTAAAAAATAATTATTCTAAACTAAATTAAAAATAACTCATGAAAAGCATTATGTAATTTCAAAGTAAACTAAGGGCATTTTGATAACCTCATCGTCGAAAGTCGTTAAAGCATAGTTTGCCATCTCCCCTTTGTTGATTTTCTTCTCATCTTCGGAGGAGCTCGATTCATCCTAAAGTGCTTCCCTCTTCTTGTGTTCATAGCAAGTAGTTGCATTCTTTTTGTTCTTTAATTTTTATTTCATGAACTTTTTAAATTTCATAGTGAGGAGTTCAAGTTCATCACTTAAGCTTATGCTCGAGTGATCTTCGATTGTTCTAAGTCTAAAATCCTTCCTATTCTTTGGAAGGTTGTTCTCAAATTTGTTTTGTGCATTGTGCATCATTTCATATATTATCAATGAACAAAAAAGTTCTTCAAGTGAAAAATTATTAAGATTTTTTGCCTTTTGTATTGCGGTTACTTTCGGAGCCCAACTCTTATTAAGAGAACGTAAAATTTTGTTTATAAATTTAAAATCTGAAAAACTTCTACCAAGTGCTTTTAAACCATTGACAATATCCATAAAACGAGTATACATGTCTCCTATGGTTTCGCTTGGTTTCATATGAAACAATTCAAAATCATGTATTAAAAAGTTAATTTTCGAATCTTTAACTTTGCTAGTACCTTCATGTGTGATTTCAAGAGTATGTCAAATATCAAAAGTCGTTTCGCAAGTAGAAACCTGATTGAATTCAGTTTTGTCTAAGGTGCAAAATAAGGCATTCATAGCCTTTGCATTTAATGAGAAAGTCTTCTTATCCAACTCATTCCAATAGTTCATTAGAAGAGAAGACCTTTGAAAACCATTTTCCATAATACTCCATAAATTTAAATCCAAAGAAAGTAAAAAACTCTAATTCGAGTTTTCCAATATGTCGTCTATCCCATTAAACAAGGGAGAATGAATGAGAAAAAGTCTCTCTTGAACGTCTTCTTCAACTCATTCAGGTGATGCGTAACCCATCCCATTAAGGTGCAAAATAAGATATTCATAGCCTTTGCATTTAAAGAGAAAGTCTTATTCTCCAACTCATTTCAATTATTTTAAATAATAAAATAATAATTTTTTATATTTTATAAATCTAGGATGTGATACTTATGGTCAGGATGCTATTGGCAACCTCTCAATGAATTGCAGGCATCATCGGTTGATTGCTAAGTTGCAGGAGAGTGTAATGCGTCGGGATTATGCCATTCTGGTTTTGAAGAATTTAGGAAGGTAATCATGCTTAGATTTGGTTCTATGCTTGCAGTAGCTTATTTGAGCCGAATGCCTATGTTAATTAACACATACATACCACTTTTTCCTTCCCTATCATCTAGAAAGATAGAGTTCAATATTGTGAGATGCTTGTTTCTAATATCCTAACTCGTGATGATCCATGCTATTGTAGACACATGACAGATAATAGACCCATGCTTCTGTAGCTCTTGTTTATTAATACTTACATAACATTATTTATTATTTTGTTGATGTAATTAGTTTTCATGGTAAATGGAACTCTTGTCATATTGTGTCAGAACTACTATCTCCTAACTAGTCCTCTGAAGTCTGAAACCCCTGATGATGTTTCTGTGATACTTTTGTCATATATGTAGCTCACACCCATGCATACTTTTGTCCATGGTTATTAGAGCTATTGAAGCCACAAAACAAGTAACATATTACTTATCATCTTTTCCTCCAGAATCAACTATTAAAAGCAGTGGTCATGTTGCACATTAATGCATGTCTGCTATGTATGTCAAGCTGAATATGGAGGTATAAGCAATGTGGTTTATGCATAACCAATTTTGTTTTCTAATTTACAGTCTTTTACACGATAAAAAAGTACTTTATTCCCTTGAACAATGTAGTTTGTATAATCATTTCAAATATCTGTGGGTATATTTCAGTTCCTAAGCATAAAAAAAATAATAGGATTAGTTTTGCCATGAATTATAGCTAGAAATTAATTATTAGTAGTTGTTGGATCATTAACTTCTGGTTGATCTACTAAGTGACATCTGCTTTCATCTTATCATGCAGGGAGGGAGAAGTCTTGCTATACTTGCAGATCAGTTTCTCCATGAGGTGGCATTCAAGCTTTGGAAGGCACCTAAATTATGGAGCTCGATTGTATCGATCATAACTAGAGGTTTATTTTCATGAACAACTTGATCTAGTGATTGCCATCTTAAGAGGAAAGGTGTTCTAGGGATAAGACCCTACTGAAGCATCATGCAATGTCAATTATGAGATCTGTGCAGCTTGTGCCTATTGTTGATCCTAGACTAAAATATTCATATGCCATTGCCATTCATAATGGAATATAATAGAAAATCCATCCTTGTTTTTGTGCTACTAAACTGATAACATTATAAGTCTTACCAATTTATCCTATTTTCCCCCTCTCTTTTCCTTTAGTCTTATAAGAAACTTAAATGTGTTAATTCAGATGTTGGAAAATTCTATGTAAGAGTTGAAAGAATTTTTTTTCTTTCCCAACTGTAAGGTCTTGCTTAGTAACATCACATTTGTTTTATCTCTGCCTATGATTACTTGTTAGTGTTATTTTAAACATAACAATAAAGCTGTAAAATCTTAATAATTTAGGATCGATTATATGAATATTTTATTATCATTTATATTTGTGAAAAATTATATGTTTAGTTGAGTATGTGAATTTTTATTTTAATTTATAATAAAGTTTAATTTTTTTACCTCATCATTGTATCATTAATAGTAACAATCTTGTTTTTTTAAATTATCACATCTTTTAAGACTTTTGAGTATATATTTATATAATCTTAAATGATTTTTCTTGTCCAAAATCGAATAGATTTCTAATTGTTTACAAATGTAAATATTTTTTTCTATCTATTCTAGTAATTTTATATATTCACTTAATAATTTTATTTTAACAACATAATTTTTTTATATATTATTTTTTAGTTGTCCAATACTTAAATTCAAAAAGTATGATTATCTAAAAATTATATTATTTTTTAATCGATACTAAATAATTTTTTAATCTCAAAGATATTTGGTATTCACACATATCATTTGACGTCTCTTGTATTTTTAATATATTATTTTTACTCTATAAATTTATTAGTGTTCTTTACTTTACTTTTTTTTTTTCGTTATATGTCCGTACTTTTGAGCCTTTATCTGAAAAATGAAACGAAAGTCTTAATTTGCATACAACATAAGCGGAATCCAACATACTTAAGTGGTACCACCATATGAATAGAACTGAGCCCCACCCCACCCCCAACAGAGATTGGAAGAACACCTCATTATATACTTCCTAGTTCCGAGCGCCCAGCATGAAGGATAGATAACGTTACCTTTAGATGGAACGCCCAGACTAGAATTTAATTGTCAAGCTTATTTGCTGCTGCTGCCACACTACTGATTGTGTCCTCGTGTAGAATTACATGGTGACAACTTCAAATTTATATTGACACACTTTAAAGGATGGAGATGAAGACGTGACAACTGAAGCTGTTCGACTGCATGACGAATGGGAAAGATGAACAAGAAGATGAATGATTGAGATATTATTTCCCTTTCTCTGCTCTGTTTGAAAAAGAGGAATTAAAAAAAAAAAAAAGGAAAGGAAAGGAAAGGAGTAAAATTTCGTCACCCATGCGAAAAGATCTCTCTTCTTCTTTCTATAGAAATACGACAAACGAGTTGAGATACACCGACCACTTTTTCTCTTTCTGCCGTCCCCCTCTTAGTCTCCTATATGATGGAAAAGACAGCCAACGCACTATAATTCTCTCGTGTTCATCTCACGCCTTCCTCCTTCCTCCTATCAAATATTTCCATCCTCTCCTTCCCCCGCTGGTCATTCAGGAAATGAAGGTGAGATCTTGTTTGCTTATGTGTTCAATGTTTTCCTTTATTGAATGGACTTAGTGATTAAGAAAAAAATCCCTTCAAACCTTGCAGAATTATTATGATAGAATTTCTTCTTCATTTTCTTTTCTTAATTGGGTTTGGTTGTAATCCTGTCTTTATTATTACAGATCTTTAGTCTGACAATCACTGTGGTGCTTGATCTTCTTAGATTTTCTCTCTCACTCTCTCTTTTTTTTTGCTTGATCAGAGAGGCTGGCTGTATTATGGATCAGATCCAATCAACTAGTGATATTTTTAAGTTTCCTTTTAACTTTCTTTCTTTCTTATCCACTTGTTGCTAGCTTAATAACTCACTGAAAAGTGAATCTCTGTTTATCTTTTCTTACCAATTAACTTTGTGTCTCTCATTTTATGTGATATGTGTATAAATGTGAAACGGAGGTTGCGTGTTTGTTACTCTTAGGCTTCAGGTTTAGGTTGATGATAATAAATGATGGTGTCTGTTCATCCTCAATTTTCTGTCCTGGACTTGCTTCTTCTTCTTCTTCTTCTTCATGATTTGCATCACTTGCAGAAGATTGTGTTGAAGTTGGAACTACATGATTACAAGGACAAACAGAAGGCCATGAAGGCTGTCTCCACCCTTCGAGGTATGTATCATATCCCCCTGTTTCTTTTTCCGCGATTTTGGTTCTCGGAGACCAATCTCCATTGCTTCAAACATCACAACTGTCAAGACGTCGTGATCATTCTATTCCGTACTATCATGTTGGAGTGAGCAGGGATTAATTCGATTGCAATAGATATAAAAGAGAAGAAAATGACGGTGATCGGATCTGTCGATCCCATAAACGTGGTGAGCAAATTAAGAAAACAGTTGCAGACGGATGTAGTCTCTATTGGGGCAGCCAAGGAGGAGAAGAAGGAAGAGCCCAAGGAGGTGCCAAAGAAGGAGGAAGTAAACAAGGAAGAAGAAACCAAGGAGGAGAAGAAGGAAGAGAAGAAAGAGGAACCCAAGAAGGAGGAAGAAAAGAAAGAGGAGACCAAGAAGGAGGAAGAGAAGAAAGAGGAGACCAAGAAGGAGGAAGAGCCCAAGGAGGAGGAGAGGAAGGAGCCTGCGAAAGAGGAGAAGGAGCCCCATGAGCAAATTATGGCAGAGCTAGTCAATGCATACAGAGCCTACCACAATCCTCACGTGTACCACAATCCTCACATGACCAGGCATTACCACCACTACTATGCGCAGAGCTCAGAGGAGAATCCAAATTCTTGTAGCATGTTGTGATCATGAAACAGCAAGAGAAGATAGATAGAGTGCGTGGAACTTTGGGTTGATCCGAAACAAAGGCTGTCGAACAATAGAGACGTGGCCCTCCCTGTACATACGTGATGGTGAACTGCTCAAGGCCTTTCTGTTAATTAGTAGTATGTTAAATAATGGTGGGAGGGATGAGTTCTGATGCTTCCTCGCCAACCCATGTTCAAGATCTTCAATAAGAATTTGACATTGTATCAGTTGTATATATTTATCTGAAGAGGCTTGCGGACTTCATATCTTAATCTCAATAATGGGATTCGTCGGGGATGTATCTTTCCAGCTAGAATCCTCTGTAGCAGTTTGACCCCATACGTGCATGATCTCATGATGGCTTAGTCGACATTTGTGGTTGGTTGTATTGATTTGGATCTCCTATTCTTTGAAATCACCATGTTCACGGCTGCACAGGTCTATATATGCGTTCATCGCGACTTTTGTTCTCTGTTGAGCGCGATTAATACCAGTGTTAGATGGCGCCTTGGAAGAAGAGATAGCGACAGGCTTCAGCAACTATGCATTAGCTTCGGTAGCTGCTTTACAAACAACACCGCCGACACAGGAAATAATGTGTCTGGAATCAATCAGCTAGAAATGCTGATTCTGAAATGGTAAAGGCTCGTCACAAGTGTTGGCTCTGATAAGCAAGCTTTCCAGGACATTGAAGTCCAGCAACCGAAGGTGGACTGATCAAAGTGGTGGGTGACTTACGATCGAGTTTATGTAGGACCAGGCGGCAAACGTTTTAGTAGGGAAGGGGCCATCACCGGCAACCATAATGACGAGGATGACGATAATGGTGATATGATTCTCTGCATGTCTTCAGAGAAGACCACCGCCTTTGGCAAGGCATTTAGTGGAATGACTCGGATGATTTGACCTAACCACATGCTTCCAAAGATCTCCACCGTGGAAGAAGGGCTCATCTTTTGTTCTTTCGGGTGTGGGAGGAGTCTTTCCCAAAAAGCGCGATGGTTGATGCTGTCAAGTGGGTGCTGTGGCCGGTTGCAAACATAGTGCTTACGTATGAAATGTTCCATTTCTTGTACACCTCTGGTTAATGTCCTCGATCAAGATAAAAAAAAAAAGAGAAAAAAATCTTGAAGTGTTTTCTCATTTTTCAGCACAATCTTTTGTTCAGATATTGATCGACTAGACTTCAGGTCAAGTCGAACCATCAAACAAAATCTTTTGTTCAAGGTCAATTTTCTTAATTTTTGAAAAAAAAACCATAATAAAGTCATTGCAATCCTACTTGAATCTGACTCAAACCCAGCCAACTACTTCCATACCAACCTGATTTAAGTGGTTTGGGTAAATATTGATATCTAAAAATGTTGAGACTTTGCTACCATTATCATTTCACAATGGACTGACAACAGAAATTGCACGGACAAATGCCATCCTATTTGAACATAACTTGGCATATGACTTAAAGTTCTTAAACTTGAATCTGATTTAGTACCCGAACGTAAACCTGACTCAAATAAAACTACTTGCCAACCTATGCTAAACCCAATGTTAGCAGGTGAAATTAATACTGGTAATTAAACTTGTTATTTAACAAAAGAGATATCAAATCCATCTCACCAGAACTAGACTAAACTGTCTAGTTGAGTCTATGTACATGTTGGAACAGATTTTGATTGTTTTATATGTAGAGAAAGAATTAACTAAGTTCTACTTTCATAGTTGTTTTAGGATAAGGTGTAATAAGGGCATACTATGGTAAAATTCCTCCAATACTTAATAAATATTCAAAGAATTTCGATCAAGTGCTAAAGTAAGTATATAGTTATAGAGTGTTCATTCTTAAGAATGCATATATAATATTTTTTTATAATGTGATAGTTAATCATTAGGTTGAGATCATAATAAATATCAGGAATAATTATCCATATCATTTGACTATCAATAGATCATGAAATTATATGTTAAATCAGGGATAAAAATCAACGGTAAGCATAAAATCTATAATATGCTGTATGAAATACGAAAATAATATTTTATACCTTGAAATCAAATAATATTAGATCTGATTTTACGATTTGTACATCTAAAAGTCTTTAGATCCAAAATCGTTGTCAATCTAGAAGTAGAACTAGACTCTCGTTCTCCTCTCTTCATATCCTTTCACAAAACTACTTAGATTGATGGTTTAGGAAAGTTGAGAGAGAAATTATAATCCCTCAATAGCATCCTCTATTAGATGCGTAACATGCCTCATCCAGTCCCTAGAGGTCTTGTCTATTTATAGACGAGAGCAAAGGGTCTAGGATAAGTTATTAGGAGAATTTCTCCCATCAAGGGTATCCCCTAAGGAATCCTACTATAATATGGACTTCTTTTCTATTTGTCAATATCTATTATCAAAATTTAATTAATTTCATTATATATCTTATCCAATTATAAAGGGCTATAAATCTAATATTCTCCTACTTGGCCCATTAATTGATAAAATATAAAAGATATTTAAAATTAAAAAAAAAAATTTGTTTGAAAATAATTTTACCTAATTTGATTCCTAAGAATTTTTAAAAGCATTTTATACATGGTCATAAATTTTAAAAACAAGCCAATAAGTCCAATAAACATAATAATATTATATTAAGTTTAACTATCAATGCGAGTCATAGCGGTTGTATATCATCAATGTCATACTTCCTTTTATGTATCACAACATTGTTAGTCTTTCCTAATATAGTACATAATGACCCCTATAATTTATCTTATCAAGATAGTCCTATTATTACATTCAACTATAATATGCATAAATATAAATGCAAATAGGATAGCAGAAATAAATAACTTTAATTAAGTAAGAAAAAATATTAATAATAGCATCCACCTAAACATGCATCACCATATCTTTTATGACTTACTCAAAAGCTCCATTGTAAGAATATGTTCCTTAAATATTTTACACTATAAAGCTTTAATAAATGGATTAGCAATCATTGTAGTGGTGCTTAGGTTTTTAATTAACACTTGTTATTTCTGGACTCTTTCTCTAACCATCAAGTACTTTATCTCGATGTGTTTAGAGCCACTAGAATACTTGTCATTCTTAGAGAAGAAAACTGATATGGTATTATCATAAAATATTTTCACTAGCCTAGTAATTGAGTCGACCACACCAAGTCCTAAGATGAAATTTCATAGCCATAAAGCTTAATTTGTGGCCTCAAAGCATACCACAAATTTAGCTTCCATTATTGATGATGCAATAAATGATTACTTTTTATTTTTCCAAGATATTGCTCCACCAGCTAACATGAATACAATTCCCGATGTGGACTTCCTACTATCGAGGCAATTTATAAAATCAGTATTTGAATATCCCATCACTTCAAACTGATCTGATCTTTTGTATGTGAGCATATAATCCTTCATCCCCTATAGATATCTCATTATTTTCTTTATAGCTTTCAAATGTTCCATTCTTGGGTTGCTCTGGTATCTTCCCAGCATTGCAATCATAAAATTGATATCTAGTCTTGTATAGGTTTGAGCATATAATAAACTTTCAATTGTACACTCATAAGGAATATTCTTTATTTGAATTTTTTTAAGTCATTTTTTGGGCATTAGTTTTGGCTGAATTTTTCACCTCTAGTAATAAGTGTATCATTGGCTGAGCAAAGCTGCATATAAATCTCTTTAAGATACGATTAGTGTATCCTTTCTAAGACAATCATAATAATATTTGAGATCTATCCCTAAATATCTCAATGGCAATAATATAGGCTACCTCATTCATATCAACGATCTTAAAGTTCTTGTTGAGAAATATCTTGGTTTCGTACAATAAGCCAATATCACTACTGGTAAGTAAAATATCATCCATATATAATACTAATATAATAAACTTACTCCCACTTACCTTTAAATATATACACTGATCAACAGAGTTTTTTTTAAATCCGAAGGAAGTAATGGTATCATGAAACTCTATATACAATTATTTGGAAGCTTATTTAAGGCCATAAATGGATTAATTTAAGTTTATAAGCCCAACTTTCTTTTCTCCTTTATATGAATCCTTCAGGTTGTTCCATATAGATTTTCTCATTCAGATCCCCATTCAGAAATGCTATTTTCATATCCATATGATGTAACTCAAGATTATAATGAGCTACTAATGTCATGACGATTCTTAATGAGTCCTTTCTAGAAACCGGAGAAAAAGTCTTGTTGTAGTCAATACCTTCTTTCTCAGAAATTTTTTTGGCCATAAGTCTAGCTTTATATTGTTTGATATTATTTGTTTAGTCATGTTTTGCCATAAAGACTCATTTACAATCAAATTTTTTATAATTATTGGGTAATTCAATAAGTTTCCAAATATTATTCTGGACCATTGATTTTAACTCTTCTTTCGTTGCATCATACCATTTTTTAGAATTGTTATTTCTATGGCTTGTGAAAATGATAAGGGATCTCTTTTTATCCTTATATTATAAATCTGATTCTTATAGATATACCACATAATTATAAGGAATGACATGTTTCCTTTTCCATTGAAATCTTCTCAAAGCTACCAATTTTGATTCTTCTACAAGATTATCGGTGACAACATCAACGTCATGTGAGAGTTCATCGATGTTATTTTGTTGTTTACCCTCGTCAATTCTCTCATTGATTTGAGGAACAATAATTTCTCGAATAGGGTATGATATGAGAGAATTAACCTGAATCTCCTTAATATTAAAATTGATCATTCGAGACTTTTCACTCCCACTAATTTTGTCATTTTCTAGGAATTTTGCATTACCAGATTCTACTATCCTTGTACTATGATTAGGGCAATAAAATCTATATCCCTTAGATTTTTCTAGATAACCAATAAAATATCCAGAAATAGTTCTTGGATCAAATTTTCTTTCATATGGATTAAATACTTTTATCTCTGCAGGACACCCTCAAATATATAAATGTCTCAAACTAGGCTTCATACGAGTCCATAACTTAAATGAAGTTGATGGAACTAACTTACTAAGAACCCTGTTCAAGATGTACATAGCTGTCTTAAGAGCTTCACCCCACATTGACTCAAGTACATAGGAATAACTCATAATGCTCCTAACCATAACCATAGGAGTACGATTTCACCTTTCAGTAATACCATTCTCCTATGACACACTTGGTAATGCATATTGAGCACAAACACCCCGTTGTTCTAGGAATCTAAGCAAAAGGACTTGTTGAATCTCGGATTTTGATGATGAAATCAATTGGTAAATTATTTGATCCAATCTATATGTTGAGAAAAGTGTATAGGATTAACTAGATAGCGATCAAGGCATAAAGCAAAATGAAGTGCTAGAGTCAAGATCGAGATTT